AAGCCAGATAACACACGGGAGAAAGTTCTCTTCCTAGAGGGGGACACAGTTGTGTCTCTTTTGTGGGAAAAGGAAAGAAGTATCCTAGCAATGGAATGCAAAATTTCAGTGTCATGCTGAATAACTTTCCTCCTTCCATGCTCTGCCACACTTGAAGTACTAAGGCCACTCCGTGTGCCACCACACTGGACATCTAGGACGGGTGCTGCGGACTTAAAATAAAACTTTCTCCATTTTGAGTTAGTTCGTGATGCAAGGGCCACGTTACTTCAAGGTATAATTTTTTTAGTATTTTCCTCCCCACTTTGGTGTACACACCCAGGCACTGTCCTTGTCTTCTCTTATTAATCTCACTTTTATTGCCACTACTTCATCCAGGTAAGCATTATCCATTCGCGGACACACAGGCTTACTTGGTTAAGATCTGCCAGCCAATGTACATCAAACCATTTCCATCAGTTCGAGGGATCTCCCACACTGAAAGGCAATCATAGAGAAGTGTTTTCTAGTTAAGGCAAGAGTAATGGTACGATGGAGACAAAACAATTCTATTCAAAGGCTTTAAGGGACTCATTTTCCAGTGTCACTTCAGCGGTAATGCACAATTGCCCCAAATAATGCAGAAATCAAAAGTGCCAGGAGGGAGGAACAAAACTAAAACATAATATCCCAACCTTGCAGAAAGGAACATTTACCTGCCATCTTCCCTGCATGATTAAATAGCAAAATACTCCACTGACATAGTTGTGTTAAATACTTAAAAAGACAGTTTTATTTCTTCTGTTATAAAAACTAAGTCCATAAAATGCAGATGTCTCAGACGGTGAAATTTTCTGTTTTTTTAAATGTCAAAATGCTATCCAGGAAGTCAAGTCTCTGACCCTATGGACAATCACAAGTACAGCTCAATTCAGCGTATGCCCGGATTGCACACTAATATTTGCCTTAACCTTACACCCATTCTCTCCTTCCCACACTGCATCAGTTAAAAATCCCTCCTAGTTCCGCTCCCGCACTTCTCATCAAACCCATGCCCTCTATTTCCACCTACACTGCTTTAATTAAGGCTTTCATCTTCTCCCATACACACTATTCTAACGGCCTCCAAGTCTGCCTTCCTGGTTCAGTGTGCCCGCCACACATTTTACCTTTCACATCCACACTGGAGTTATCTTCCTCAAACACAACTTGGATCTTACTAGTCCTCTGCTTAAAAGCCTTAAATAACTCCCTATCAACTAGGAAACAAGAGTCTACGGCATGTGAGGCCTTCAGAACACAGCTATAACATGTGTTCCTAACATCCTCTCCTGCAGTTATCCCATTTATCCTGTATACTAACCATAGAAAACTGGTTTTCTTCAACCAAGCCATAGTTTGTCATACATTATTTTGCCTTCTGCAAGCTACTCCCTCAGACTTTAGGGTCCAACCCCTTCACTGCCTCAAAATCTCCTGTTAATTCTTCATGACCAAGCTCAAAATCACCTCCTTTGTGAAGATTCCCTAGCTCCCCAATGTATAATTGAAGAAGTGCAACTAGTTTAGCTCCAGTATTTCCTGCAACACACCACTCTCATGACAAATAAACATAGGCACATCATCTGTGTAATCTTAAATTTTCAAGTAGTCCATTAAAAGGTAAAAAGAAATTAGCAAATTTTAATAATAGATTTCATTTAACCAGGAAAATTAGAATAATATCACTTCCACATACAATCAATACAAAAATTAATGATACAGTTTTTCACATTGACTCTCTGAATGTGTATTTTACACTTCCAGCATATTATAAATTTAGACACTAGGCTGTCATAAAAAATAATTTATTTTTAGAGTTCATGAAATTTACACTTGAAAAGGTAGCTTCACATACCTAGGTTGTTCTAAATGTAATTGAAAGTTTTCCAATAACAGGATCAAGCATCAATTTTTTTACTTTAAATTGAAATAAAAACTAAATAGCATGAGGAGATCAGTTCCTCAGGCATGCTGGCTATATTTCAAGTGCTCCAGTGCACTAGAATACAGCTGGTAGCTATTATACTGGACAGTACAGCTCGACTGTAATTATCTGTGTATTCATCTCTCTTCCCCACTAAATTTACTTGTATCTTTTCCATGGCCTAACATGAATGTGGCCTAAGACATACATGGTGCTTCAGGAAAGTCTGTTGAATAAATAAAAATAAAGGTGCAAATCATTTGACTCCACCCCAACATGAAATTGAGAGCATTCTTTTGTAAAGAATATAAATGAAATTTTTATGAATACATAGACACTGGGGTCACGAGAGCCGCTTGGAAGCTGTAAACCAGGAGGACCTTGCACAATACCTGCAGAGACTCATTGGAAGCCATTCTTCCCCTGACAGTTCAGGATGTGGTGGAGCTCCGGAGAAGTCTGCAGCAGGATTCCTGCTGCCTGTGCTGACAGTTGGGGAGAGGACACTAACTGGTTGTGGGGTCCCAAAGCAATGGGAAGCTGGAGAGAAATAGCTACAAAGACTGGCTTTCACCTCAGAGAGCTCACTTGAGATGCTAGTAAGAATTGCCTCCTCAGTATTCTATCGCCATGATGAGGAGGAGGCCAAGGAGAGAAAACAAAGAGACTGAGAAAAAGCAGCTGCTTTTACTGCACCACTAAGAGAAACAGATCCCAGGTCTGATTCCCGGGGCTCAAGAACAACTCGACAACTGCATTCATCTGCTACCACTGTTAAAAGCCAGGCCACCTCAAGAGGAACTGCCCTAAGAGGCCCCATGGGCCATGCCCTGGATGCAAAGGAGACCACTGGAGATCGGTCTGCCCTCTGAGGTGAAGGCCCCAGAGGTCAGACCCATGCTACCAGTTACTCCAACAGGAATGAGAGGGCTTGGGGCATGGTCTGCCTTCTCCCTCTGGCCAGACCGTCATCTCCATTGAGGAGTCCTGGGTAATCATGACTATGGAGGAACAAGAAAACAGCCTGCTGCTAGTCACAGGTGCAAGTCTCTCGGTCCTTCTTTTCAATCCTGGCCTTCCTTCCAGCCATCATACCTCAGTGAAAGGAGTCACTGGTGAGGTAATATGCTATTTTTGACAACCCTTAGGTTGTAACTACTTATTAGATCCTTCTTGCATATCCCTGTCTTCCTGAGAAACCACTTTGAAGATACCACCACATATTACAGCAGCCATTGATATTTTCCTACTAATCTATCCATAACTGTGTTGTTTGTAATGTTCCTATCCTATTTCATAATGTATGTTTATTATTATGTGTTTCCTACAACAACCACTGAGAATAGTTAATGATTTTTCAATAGGTCACTCATGTATAGCTCTATTTATTTTCTTTAGAAGCCACATTGAAGATACCAAAGTATAGCACAACTCTTGATAATCTCCTACCTCTTTTGTCTCTAACTCACTATTATTTGTCTATTTGTTTTCCTGAGAAACTATTTTGTAGATAATAATATGTAAAACGATAACCATTGATAATTTCCTACCATTTTGTCTGTAATTTGCTAAGTCCCCCCTATTATTATGTTATCCTTCTTTTATTCTTTAAAATAAAAATTAAAAAAAAAAATGAATACATAGACACACTTCTACACCATTCATCATATGCACCCACAAGCAAGCATATAATGCCTGCAACATTAGTCACCATGAATGACCAAGATATGGGGACAACCTGGATGTCCAGTGACTGAGAAAGTAAAGATGGAAAATACATAAAATGGAATACTATCCAGACTTTAAAAAGAAGGAAATTCTGCCATCTTCAACAACATGGATGCACTGGATGACATTTTGCTAAGTGAAATAAATCAATAATAGAAAAACAAATGCTTCGTAGCCACGTAGATGGAGTATCTATGATAGTCACACTCATAAAAGCCGACAGTAATATGGTTGTTACTGGTGGCTGGGGTGGGGGGATGGCGAGTTACTCTTCAATAGGTATAAAGTTCAACTTTTACCTGAATAAATTCTAGCAATCTGCTGCACACTATTACGCATATAGTTCCTCACATTGTATTACATACTTAAAAATGTAAGATGGTAGATCTCATGCAAGGTGGTCTCACCATGAGGGGAGAAAAGGGCAAGCAAGAGCAAAAGGAATAAAGTTACTCGTATGGTAACTTGGCTGACGGGTGGGGAGTGCGAGTAGGGGCAGGAAGTATACGGGAACATTCTACTTCCTTCTTCAATTTTGCTGTCACCCTGAAGCTGATCTAAAAATTAAAGTCTCTTCAAAAGAGAAGAGAAAATTAACCAATTAGGATTAAATACATTGGATGTGCTACTGATTCGTTCAGTAACAAAAATGGCATCAGGGCCCTCATTCTGGGCCTTTACTCATCTTTCCCGTCCCTTTCATGCATTTGTGGGTCGTCTACATAAATGGCATGCCATAATAAGTTTCACTTCTCTTGTTATCTTGCCTCTACAAACTATATTTTAAGCTTCCAGAGACAGAGCGTGTTCCTCGTACTTTATACCTATCGCCGCACATTGTTACATGGTAATAACGAACTGCAAGAACTGTGTGTATGACGTATCATCAACTCTTGGAGGTCTTCTTCTTCACCAAAGCCCTTCCCAACCAATCCCAGAACCTAATCTCTCAACAGTCTCATTGATTCTGCTACCCCTACAAAGCCAGGGCCAGTGACCTACTCATGTAAGCAAGTTTACTCTGTGTTGCAGTATATTTTACATGTATAATCACCCTTCATGCCCAAGAACATGGGATCACGTTTCCAGTCTTCATTACAATACCTCGCATGACCTTATGCGGCTCTCTCATCAAAGGGACCCCTTAGTAGGTCTAGTTCCTGTTCCCATTTCCCATTCGCATCTGCCCAACCAATCACAGGCTACAACATGACAGGCGAAAACTCAGGAAGGGAGGCAACTGCTTCAGCCTTGTTAACTGCTCCACTGCCCTAATGATAGGCAACTCATCAACGAATGCACTCACATAAATTTCCACAAAGGAAAATATAGTTGGTTTATCTTTTATTCTAATGTTGTTTAAATATGGGCAAAATAAAAATAAACACACAGACGCCATATGAATCAGCTGTGGGGTTCTCCTTCGTCAGCGCTGGCGTTGCTTCTCTCTTGCTTCCAAAGCTCCCTCATGCTCTCTATCTCTGCAGAAGTGAACTTGGGGGTTAGAGTCACACTGTCATAATCAAAGTCTTCGTCAAGTGAAAAGGGCTGAACTTCATCTCCTAGTATCTATAAAAGGTAACAATGGGAGGAAAGAAACATACAGAATCATTGTAAATGCAGATAAAGTTAGAAATATGAACGCCCTATTCATATTTAATTAAACCTTTTTTTAGATTTCAGCCCTCTCAGCTGATTAAGCTGTTTTTTAAGTAAAGAAAAAAATTCAATTAGACCTAATTTAAACCTCTTAATATGCCTACCCCATTTGTACCATGCTATATCTGCATGAATATCATTACCTAATTCTGCCCAAGGCAAGAATCAGAAAGTCTCTTGTGCACATATTCATTACATTTTTCACTTGGAGGGTCAGGACTAAAGGCATATGGAAAAATTAGGAGTGACATTAAAAGGTGAGAAAATGTACCTTAAGATTTTGATCAACCTTCAATATATTTTTCCCATTTACTAAAAAACATTACAAAAAACACATTTACTAAAAAACATTTTCCCCTTTACTGTATTAATAGAACATAATTTTCAAAGGAAAATGACCTCCACTTACTATACTTCTTTACATAACATCCATCACCCCTGGCCAATAACGGTAGGAATTAAAATGTTTGAGATTATTTTTCTATCAAGAATCTTTTAATATATTACCGCTTATATACAAGTCAGAGTAGCTATAAAGAGATGTCATAGTTCTGCATCTATTTATTCAAAATTTGTGAGTTTTCAAGACTTCCTAAAGGATGATAGATAAAAAGCATATTTTCCAGTAAACAAAAAGAGAATGCCTTAAATCTCATTGTATCACCCCCTAAAAAGCCCCTCCGAAAGCAAATGTTGTGTGACATAACGCAATCATCCACAGTGCCTGTATCCAGATCTATAATATGTATAGCAATGCTGAAATAATTGAAAGCTATGGTTTATACAAGAATGAAAAATACTGCCCTGAAACTATAATCAGTTTTAAACATTCCTGCATGGAAGACGATCTCATTGAGAGGCTTTTGAAATATCTGCAAAAATGGAGCATATTGCCTGGAAACTATACGCTGTTACTAAAGGTGAAAAATGTATCATAAAAAATAGATCTCTCCTATCTGTTGAACAAGACATGTCTTGCAGTTAGGTGTGCCGTGCTAACAGCAAACACCCAGCCATTTATCATCCTTTCTTAGTAAAACCAGCAAGAGAACAAATTCTGCAGACGGGCAGTAGTTTTCTCTTTATTGGAAAGCACCTGGGTACATGGCAGGTGTAAGGATAAGAGCTGCAGGTGAAAGCGTTCCCACCCTTTGCCAGCCCTACTACCAGGAATCCTGAGGGCATCAGCAGTAACCTTCAAACAATGACTTCTTCAAACAGTGACTATACCCTCTTAATGCCATTTCTCCTCTTATGAGGCTCTGACAGGCTAATAACATGGCCACAGCTACACAATTAGTAAGGAAGAGAAGCAACATGTGAACCCAGGGCAATCTGCTTCAGATGAAGTTGCCTCTACTCAAAAAACACTAGCAAAAATCAACCTGGTCATATTTCTTTGAGAGAAAAGACCATTTTTTAATAAGATGAACAGTTCCACAGCCTGCCATAGAAAATGTCCTCAAGGCCACATGTAATGCCATGACTGCCACCCTACAGAGTTGAGTGACCAATCTGTCCATTTTTACCCCTTTTAGGGAAGCAATTTATCCTCAGTACTGCCAAAGTGACAAAGGAGAAATACTGCTAAGATGAACTGCAGCAACGAAACACACACAAGGACACCAGACGTTCATTTCCTGAACATGAGCATCCGGGCCATCTCAGCAGTAAGCACCAAGGGAAGCCTGTTTACGTGGCCACCGCTCACCTTGAGCCAAATCTAACTGATCCTGGAAAAATATGCAGAAGCTACCAGCTCTACCAGATCACTCAGTCTGATGGGATTTTGCCACATTTCTATTCCCAATCTAGAACTTGTCAGTACAAACATCCCGAGCTTCCGGGTATCCATCCTGCCAGGCCCAAGTCGTTCTCAGCAAACAGGAATCCACAAACGGGCCATGCAGTGTTAGGTACACAGAGCACAAGGCCATAACGATGAGACCAGGACAGGACATGCAATCTCCCCCACTGCCGAAGAGTCTGACATGACCTAGACACCTGCACCTCCTGTTCTGCCCATTCTGTGCACCTCGACCATTGGCATCCCACCCTCCAATTTCCTTTGGAGAAAAGCTCCCTCCCTCAGCCCTTATGAAGCTCCACCTCCCCTCTGGCGGAGGGGCTGACATCCTCCATGATCTCAGCCCACAGGGATGAAATAAAACTAGACTCGCTGCTTTACACAACAGCCTGTTGGGTGATCTCTCTCGCGCTGTTTATCACACATCGGTGTGTGCTCATAACAGGACTCAGACCCCACCCTGCAGCCTCTGAAATCAGCCATTCTCGCCACTTGTACTCACTGTGCCTTCAGCAGTCCTCCCAGTGAGGCAAGAGTGTAATTCCAATTAGCCAAATCCTCCCGCTCAAACCCCAGCAGCACCCTACTGTGCCCTCCACACACAACACGAACACTTCTCTTTCTTGTTCTCCTACTTGTTCCCTCGTTAAATGCGTATGAATGATTAGACCCTGGCAAATGAGTGCAGCAAAATCTGTGTCCATGGGTTTCCTAACTTCAAAAAGAAACAGACATAAGTAAGTGAATCACTTCAGTATCATGTCCCGTGCTCTCCAGTGAAGGAACTGCAAAAGGGGAAATGGAAATGGAAAAGCAAAGAGGCTTAATTTACCCTCAAATGAGTACGGCCTGTCCTCAAAAAAAAAAAAAATCCTACCGGCCCCTACACATCACCCTTTTATTTTCCACCTTGTCTCAGCAGCCCAGGAAAGGTGAGAATGGCATTTGGGGCTTCTACATATTCCAGTAAGGATGCATGGCCCGGTTATTCTCCCAGTTGCCCACCCCATCTACTGCCTTCTCACCCACCTCCATTCCCCAAGGGCCTGACATGTGGCCGTAACATCCAACACTGTGGTATTACAGATATAGAAATTTGCTCTTAAATGGAAAAATCATGTTTCTTTAATTTTTTTATATACTTAAATTCTCCATCATGGTACAAGATTTTCTTCAATTGCTGTGTATTAATCAAAAACAACAGCAAGAGAAAAAGGCTTTCAGAAAGTTAATAAATTTACCTAAACAAGGATTACTCATTTATAATAAACTTAAGGGTATAAAAATAAAGATATAAATTTCTTCACCTAGAAACTGTTATTAAATACAGCAGCCATGGCTAGGCTATTTTCCTAGGCAATCAGTTAAACACTAAAGTAGGAAAGCAAGAAACTGAATATCCTAATAATCTCATTAGTCAAAGGAATAGTCCCCTGTAATCGTTCAAATATTTTCCTTCTTTTTTCACAAAATCTGTGTTTCTATTAAATTCTAGGCATGGAATAAAGAGCTAGAGAGACAAGGATGAATAGCTGCATGAAATCACAGGCAAATGATAGAAACAAACAAATCATTACGGTAAAATGTGCTAAGTATGAATGTTATAGTGAAGGGGTTATGGGAACACAAAAAGGCTACTTAACCCAGACCAGAAGCAGGGTTCTAGCAAGGAACAAGAAGGCTGGAGAGGTGATAACTAAGCAGGATCTTAAAGGTGCAGGAGTTAACAAGGGTGAGAGAAGAACAGCTTCACAGACAGTGGGAGTCTCACATGAGTAGGCCATGG